TATTTTTTTTTTTTTTTTCCATTCATAAAATTCCTTTTTGCCATTTTTCTTGAAATTCAAAAGTTCTTTTTCGCAAGTCTTTTTTTCGAAATTCTCTTTTCTATTCAGAAGTACTTCCTTTTTTTTCTCTCTGAACTCCTTAATTAATTTCGACTAAACTCGATTAATGCACGACCGAATTAATCTCTTTTACTCGGAATTAATCACCCCTTTTCGAAATTATAAAATTTTACCCCGGACGTAGATCCGAATAAATTTCGTCGGTATTCATTTTTCTCGGAATGAATTATTCTTTTTCTTCATTTGGAAATTCCTGAAAATTTTGCTTTCGTATTTTCTTGAAAAATACACTCGCAAATCTGTTTCGAATAAATTCAAATTAGTTTACGCTTTATTCTTGTAAGTAGGAATTGTCCCCCCCATCCCCACATGCCACCACGCCAAACCAAGAACTCCCAACGCGCCGCCGCCGCCGCCGCCGCTGCTGCCGCTGCCACTGCTGCTGCGGTATCCTCCACATCCGTTCCGGCCGCGTCCTCCACCCCCTCTTCCCCCGACATGACCGCATCCTCCATCAACATGTCGGACATCCGCACCGACTCGGTCGATAGCATCCCCCGCAACCTCGCAGGCGAACAATCACCAGCAAGCACCACCACCCCCGACCTCTCCGCCATCCTCCACGCACTCAAGACCCTCCGAACCTCAGTCACCGCCTCTCTCGACGACATAAAGGCCAACATGTCATCCATATGTGACCGTGTCACCACGATCGAAGGGACCATCCCCTTTATCACGGTCGTCACCACGACTCCACCTCCGTCCTCCACAGCGCAAACCACTCCCTCTTCCACAGCGCAAACCACTCCATCCTCCACAGCGCAAACCACTCCCTCCTCCGCAGCCGCCTCCAGCAACACCCCCCCGCCGACCTCCTCCACTCCTACCACCTCTACCACCACATCCACCAACCCTTCAACCTCCACCACTGTTCTGTTCCCTCAACCTCCTCCCTCATCCTGCGCATCCAACACACCGCCTCATTCCTCGCCCATCCACGTCACCCCTCTTCCCCCCCCGCACCCCCAAACCCTCTCCCAACCCATGATGACCACCTCCACCATCCCCACCATCCGTCCCACCTATTCCCAAGTCACCTCCGGGGTCTACCCCGCAATGCCACAACTCCCCCCCAACTACCTCCTTGAGGACAACAACCAACTCGACCACACCTGCTACGACACCACCCCCGATAACCTCAGCTTCAACACCCTCGCCCAGATCGTTTCCCGCGATGGGGAAATCCCCCGTTCCTTCCGATCCGGTGAAATCATGTCCTTCTCCGGCCTCCCCCACGAGGACGTTTTCCTCTTCCTAACCCAGCTCCAAAACTCTTTTCACCTCCACCACATGCCCCTTGCCCACTAGCCCCCCATTGCCACCTCCCGCCTCCTCGGCAATCCTGCGAAATGGTGGATGGCTGAAGTCAGCAACCGCCGAGCCTCCGGAGGACCACGTCACTCCTTCCTCCAATGGGCCAAACTTCTCACTGCCACCTTCCGCCCCCAGAAAACCATTGATGACTACCTCGAACAATTCTGTCACCTCCGCCAGACCAGTCCCATGGACTGCTTCGTCCAATACATCCGCTCCCTCCGCCATCACCTCCCCACCACCGTCATTCCCGACTTTGCGTTCATCTCCCACATCACGCGAGTATGCCACAAAGATCTTGCAACCGCCCTCGCGCACGAACCCGACATGCCCCTTGCTGACCTCCTCTCTCGCATGCTTCACCACGATCGACTCCTCCATCCCCATCACCAGTCCGCGCCCGCTCCCCCCCGCCCCCTCATTTTCCATAACGACGCCACTCAACCCACCTTCGATGACGACTTCGACACTGCATCTCTCGACCCCTCCCAATGCACCATTGAGGACCTCCGGACCGCCCACCTTATACGGATGGAACGCTAGGATCGTGCCTCCCGACTGCCTCCTTCCTCTCCACCCCGTCGCCTCCACAAACTCACATCCGCAGAACACATATACCTCCAAGAACACAACGGGTGTTTTCGCTGCCGCCAGTTAGGTCATCAACAGACCAACTGTCCCAACGCTAGCCACTTTACTCGACAGGCCCCTTGCTCCACGGGACTCGGCCCTTCTACTCCCACTTCTTCCTCCACCGCGACAGCCGCCCCCCCCCCACCTGAACACTGTTCCCCTGTCTTTCGCAATCCATCCCTAAACCCCTGTATAAACCCTGCTACAACCTCGCAACCCCGATCTACACACACCCTAGAACCCAGTCCACCCTCCCCTTGACCCTCATTCCTGATGTCTGATCTGCCCTTGCCCTCGCCAAGCCTTGTCCAATCTATCCTCTCCACTACCTTGTCTCTCTTGTCCAATGCTTGTGAACCTGCGTGACGCCGGCGATAAAGGATCTAATGGCAAGCGCACGAGGACGATCGCCTGCTGCCTCACTGTTCATGAAGATTATGCAGCTGGTTTGGCCACCATGCTGTTTCATCGGCCGCCATCCCGATTCGCGGACTTACTGGAGCAGCAACTTGTGACATGGATCTTTGCATCAGTCTGCGACTTCCTTGCTTCCAGATCAGACCTCATTGCAGTTCGTGTACCGGACGCACCCTAGCACTTGGACTTTGACACTTGAACTACGACTACGCTTCTTGGACTTCTACCTATCGCAGCTGCTGAAGACCGCTTCTACCACCTACTCCAAAGACCTGATCAAGACCGCTGTAGACCCTCTTTCAAGACACTTGGACACTTTGTTCCTACATGAGATTCTGTGTTACGGACTTCGCCAGGGCTCGATCCCTGGTCTATCTTTTGCTGTTTCGGCTGCATCCCGTTTTTGGCCTGGCACCCTTTTTCCAAAGCCCTCCTTTGGTACCGTAGGATTTTGGACAACTGGCGCCATGCTGCAATTCGGGCGCCACTTTCAAATACTGCATTTTTCAGTTCTGCCCTCGGGGCCTTTGCAGAAATGCCCCTAGTACAGTACGTGTCACCGGTACTTATACGGGCTCCCTGTACGGTACGGGGACCAGTCTCGTACCAGTTCTCTGCTGCTGTACTCGTACTCAGTGTGACTTGCTGTTTTCGGCATTCGGGAATCCAAGACTTCGACTTTGTGCCTTGCCACTGTGTCTG